AAATCTGTAAGTGCCTTTATGATAAGTAAAAAGTGGATAAGTTTAATCAATAGGTATTAAACATTTTGCAAAATCATATAGGCTAACTATAGAAAATTTCTCTTAGGAACTAAAAATTTGTTTGAAATGGATAATTTATTGTATTTATTAGTGGTATTATCTCTCAAAGAACGATTTTCTTTATTCGGAATAATGTTTTGTATTAAAATTTAAAATACGTGTCGTTCATAAATTGATGTAACGGATCTGATTTTTTAAGTTGGTCAATATTTTTGTTATGCTGAGTTATATTTCTACATAATTTCTCAAAGTATAAATATTTGCTCGATTTCTCTTCGTTGATGCTACCAACAAAACAGTGTATTAATTATTACAAGCGTTTGAGTGGCTTGGTTAATGATAAATTTGAAATCTATATAGGTTCCTACCAATTATCTGATATTGTATTATTATTACATATTTTTTGTTCACTGCTTGACGTTCCGATAATTTCACCCGATTCCCAATTTATTTGAGAATTACAAACAATACAATTCACAAATGGCTTAAATTTAGATTTTATGAGATCCCAAGATCCTTTTTTATTTAGTTTTAAACCGCTTAAAGCATTATAAGCGTATGATTAATTTCTCATTGAATTTGTGTTAAAAATTCCATTAAGTTATGGTCAAACACAAAACTTGAATTCCTAACAATGAAATCTAATAACAGATTATTAAGAGCTTTGTCTCTGATATGCTCATAATAATTTGTGTTTAAACTGTTATGTACAGGCTCATATAATATTAGATTATTAATGTGTTTCAAAAGTGGCCCCATTGTATCATCGTCATCAATAGTGAGTTTATCACAGAAATTTGTCTTGCCACTAAAAGCGAAATACTCGCGTATAAAATTATCGGTTTGACGAACCTGAAATAAAAAAAAATTACTTAAAAGTTAAAACCAATTTTAAAGAAAAATGATAAAACTTACACTATTTATGTTATTTTTGATTTCGGTCAGTTGAATGTCCCACAATTGTAAGTATTCGTCATTATCTTTCTTTGCAATACAATCAGCTCTTTTTTCTTGCTGATCTATTTTTTTGTTTATATCTATAATTTGTTTTTCAACTGTAGATTTTTGGGTTGTAACGTCAGATTCGATTTTATTACATTTTTCTCTCAGTGTATTCACTTTTTCTTGTAAACTAATAAGGGTTAGTTGTATTATTAATAAACGTAGTGTTGATAATAATAGGTAGGTACATCTTTGTACCTTATACTTACAAATTAATTCTTTTTTTTTGATTTACCATTCTAAAATTATTATCTTTTATTTGTTTTTTTAAAACATGACAATTATATTCAAGTTTTTTTTATTTTTGTTGAACATCTGATTTTAACAAATTCCAAATCGGTATCAACTACCTATAATACGCAACTCATACATCATATATGAATGTAATATAGGTAACGGTACGTATATTGTACATTGATACTATATAATTAGTGCTCGACTTGAAAAATAAATAATAGACATAGGTACTCTGATTACACATTCAAAGTTCGCGTCCTTACCTATACTTAATTAAAATACTGAAAATAACCGTAGGGGGCGAACAAACAAACGTTTCATAACTTAATATTTACCATGAGTAGGTACTTCTTACTTTTAAACCTTCAATCATAACCGCAATATATGTTTATAATAAAATGTGATACTTAAAATAATAATATTGCTTGTCTATAATCTGCTCTGAATTCTAAACTCTGTCCAACGAGAGAGCTCAACTAGGTGGCGATCAAAACTCGTTATAGTCCGCGCATCTCCCACCACCAGGCCCATGTAGTGCCACTTATCAGCTGTTGCGCTCTCTCGTTGGACAGAGTATAATATGGTATAACAAAAAAATGTAAAGACAGAGGGAGGCAGAAGATGTCGTTAAATGGAATTAACAAAATACATTTAACAGTGTAAACAATCATAGGTACACCTTTCCCACATATTTGACGTAATGTGGAAATGGGTAGCAATAAATCGTGTGGACTGCAGTGGAATAGTTTTGTGTACGCCAGCAAAATATATTTTGGATCGGCCGGTTGATATTTATATTTGTTTAATACCATATGAACTAAAATACTATATTATTTTATAAAAAAATATTAACATTGTTCTTTTGTAAAAAAAAACATAAAATAAACAAAGTCATCAAGTGTCCTAATAAATTTGAAAAACGTATGAATACTCTAGAATTTCTAAACATTTAGTTGGGATACTCTATCCCCCCTGCACTTACCAAAGACCTACCAAAGACAATCACTGTTATATATTATCTAATTCTTAAGTCTAGCACGAAAGTATTTATGTAAAAATTAGTTCTACTTATAATATGTTTGTTTGTCTCCTGAAAAAATTGAGATAGTTATAATTGGGCCCTTCCTTTAACTTACAAGTTACTTGCACTCCAATTTTTAAAACATAAATGTTCAGAAATCTGTAATGATTCTTTTTTCTCCACCGCTTGACATATGCAACAATATTTATTTCGAACTCCACAAAACAACATTTTCTTTGTCCTAGCTCCAATTATACAAGCCTGGCTCAAATTAATTAAAAATTATATTAGTCATTATTTGGTATAGGTACGCATTTATAGTAAACCAATGAAATGCAAGTTATTAATTTATTATTTAGAAAAATGTATAAGTATAGGTACTTACAACTCCAGATAAAGCATTTAGTACGGTATGATCGTTTACTCCAGGCCCCATCAGCAATGACAGCTGTCTTAGGTCTACCTAGATAATCGACTTCTCCATTGTTAATCGCTAATTTAGCCTCCTCCTTACCAGCCAATAACATTTCTTTTCAAGCAATGTCATTGAAGTGATTAAAAATATTAGTATGCGTTTCTTGGTACATTCAATTTGACATATTCCGCATATTCAAAGTAGCAGTTATCTCTTCCAGTTGAGAATATCCTTGCCCAAAATTGACTATTGACGAAATTATGGCCATGTTGATATTTATATCATTGTCATTTTTTCACTGTCAATTGTAACCTTTACGCCACACATTTTACATGCGAAGTAAAATATGCTGATAAATCCTTTTCTTCCTTCTTTCAAAAATTCCAAATCACGAAATGAACATTCAGATCCTTTGTGATTTATTAATTGTATTGAATTAAAAATATGTCGCATGTTTACAATTCTTCGCCCTTCTAAATTTTTCCATGGATCACATTCATCGTCATAAGACGATGACAGTAATGTCGAATTAATGCTTATTTCACGATTTACTTCTCGATCATTATTTGGAGTTGAAGTTTCAAATTCGGTAAAACTAAAAAGTGATGACGTAGGATCATTTTGGTGTTCATTCTTTTAAATAAAAATAATTACAGATGGTATTTAAACAAATATATATCATACAATTTAAAAAAAAAATTGTATTTATGTAAATAATTTGTAAACAAGGAATGTATTAAATTATTAAATTAACAATAATTAATAGGCACATATTCTATTAGTTTATTTAGTAATTAGTATATAATATTATAATTTATCGTTGAGCTATATTAATTTATATTATAATATGAGAGCTATTAAAAATAAAAATAATAAAATAAAACTGTAATTTATAATGTTATATACAGTGGCGTACCTGTGAAACATTTTTTTTTTGGGGGGGGGGCATAAATTAATTGCACAATTTTTTATGGTTATAAATTATAATATAATCTGAAACAAAATATGAATTATATAACAAAATCTAAATTTCTTTTTTTACTGCCAGCAAATAAATCAATAACTTCGTCAACTTCAACTGTTCTGTGTCTATGAATATTAAGCAGAGCTAACCCAACTAAGCGTTCTTCGCCCATGTTTGACCTTAACCAAGTTTTTAATCTAAGTTTAAAAGTACAAAGCAATATAAATTAAAATATAATATAATCATGCATGATGCAAAAGCATTAAATATAGAATATAGATAACTATCTAACCTTCGTAATGTTGAGAAACTACGCTCAGCAGAAGCTACAGAAACAGGCAAGCAAGCAATAATATGTAGTATTTTTTTAATATTTGGATATAATATTTCATTACACTGGTCCATAGATGTTAATGCATCAGTAAGAACAACTCCATCTATACATTAAAATAACACAATTTTTTTCAATAATGTTAGTAATGTTAGACCATAAAATATTATTACATTACCTTCACTTTTTATTCTGTTCCATTTCTCTTTCCAAAGTTCTATTTCAGATTTCAATTGTGACTCTTCTAATGCTTCATCATCAAATTTATAATGTGTTACTATAGTTTCTGTGACTGTGTTAATCATCTTGTCATCAATATGAATAATATGTTTTGGGATAAGTTGAATTAATATCAATATTGTTTTGTTTTTTTTGTTTAAAAATCTTGATTTTAAGTCTAATACATTGTCTAATAATGGTATAAATGCAGACACCCTGTAATATTCTTCGGTACTCTTAGATTGGTGATTAGAGCGATTAATTTGGTGTTTAGAAAGTCTTGGAGTTTTTATTTCAATGTCAAGATCTTTCATCAATAAACTGCTGTCTTCGAATAATTGTTGAAAAACTTTTTCACACTGGGTACGTTTATTTTCCAAAATACTTATAACATCTTGAATACAATCAAAGGCAGCTAAAACATCATTATCTGTTCCTTGAAGTATTTTACTAATTGGAGCTGTGACACTAAGCAAGTTAGATAATATTTCAATTGAAATAATAAACTCACAAGTACACATAGCTGTTAATAATATTTTTGCTTTCGATGAAGAATCTTGTTCACTCCACTCGGAAATATTGGTTAAGGCTTCTATAATTTGAGGTATTGATGCCTTAAAAATCATTATGCTGTCATGGCGTTCCACCCATCGGGTTTCACAAAGACTTTTTAAATGAGGCTTGCCATTTAAAACGGTTTTTAGTACAAAGTTTCTTTTGGAAGACATATTAAAAAACGAGATTATTTCTTTTAATAGACCAACATTATTTCTAATACATTGTACGGTTTTCTTAATGATCTTTTCACATTCTTACCATTTCTAATATTCATAGTAAATGGATATATGAAGTCATCAGGTGGTATATTATCCATATTAATTATTTTTTCTTTAATATTATCAGATAATGTACGACCGGGTGTTCTTAAAAAGTTTCCAATGTCCATGTTGTATGTGTCATCACAAACTGCACTGTTACAAGTAGTTTTACTTAATTTAGTAGATTCATCATTTTGTGTCAGTGTAGATGATTCAATTGGAATAATATTCTTTGAATTGGAAGATTGTGGATCAGATGTAGATGATTCAATTGGAATAATATTCTTTGAATTGGAAGATTGTGGATCAGATATATGAAGTTTTTTCGTGATGGGTCCAGTGCTGTCATCACAACAACGCTTTTCATCTTTTTTTGATACCCATTGAGTCAATTGTGTCTGAATGTTTGATTTAGACATAATGAATAATATTTAATTATTTAACAATTAATTCAAACAATATTTAATACAAAACAAGGAAAAAAACAATAAACTTCGTTAAAAGCGTGTATAGTAGATACAAAGTAAGTAATGATAACGTCCTCATGTTGATCACTTGATATTGTGGCGTCTCGCCACAATATCAATGATAAGTGATAACCACATTATGAAATAGTGACTATATATTGTGACCATAACATTACTCCTAATCCCAATTTAGTCGAATATTGACATTTTATACATAGATAATATACTATCATTATTTTATAATACATTGATAAGTGATATCAAACACGATTAAAATCAGTGAAAATTAAAAATATTTATTATTTACATTATTTAAGCTGGACAATGAATTTGCATTATGACATCAAAAAACTTCTCGGGGGGGGCCCTGTTGCCCCCCCCCCCCCCCCCCCCCACAGGTACGCCACTGGTTATATATGTGGCGGTCGAATGTTCGGGCGCCGCGCGTCTTCGGTAACGTTCTAGAAGGATCGCACCGCCGCCGTAGCAGCCGCCTCTAGAAGATTCGACAGCCTATATAAGCGCAAGATCGTCGCTCAGTGCTGTCATTCGGTCGTCAGCCAGTCTACGCGTTTTTTCTCGCTGTCTCACACTTAAGATTTGTTAGCTTTTGTAATATAGTTGTAATATAGTGTAATCAGTAAAAGTGTTTATTCATTCAATTACATCTACCTATTACACTTCGCTACATTGGTGAGCTCGACGATAAATAAGTATGAACGAAGAACTACCCAATCAGTTGGAAGCGTTATGCCAAGAAAACGCTCGCCTTGCAGCACTGCAGGCACAGCAAAATCCAACGGCTTCAGTAAATCGCGTTGTCGTTAAGTTGCCACCTTTTTGGGCCGAAAGACCGAGTTTATGGTTCTTGCAGGTGGAATCGCAGTTTGCAATCTCGGGAATAACAAGTGAGGAAACAAAATTTAATTACGTTGTTGCTCAGCTTGTTACGCGTTACGTGGCTGAAGTAGAGGATATTATTACTAATCTGCCGCCTACTGAACGCTACAAACATTTGCGCACAAAACTTGTTGAACGGTTGTCTAATGTCTATCTCGGAAGAACAACGTGTGCGTCAACTCATTAATGAAGAAGAACTAGGTGACCGTAAGCCATCACAGTTCTTACGACATCTTCGTTCCCTTGCCGGTACTACCACATTACAGGACAATATTTTACTTCAACTTTGGCTCCGCCGTCTACCATCACATGCGCAAGCTATTTTAACTTCACAATCAGAGCTTCCTCTGGAAAAGGTAGCTGAGGTGGCTGACAAAATTGTTTAAGTACAGCCAGCCCCCTCGCCATTCGTCCATGCTGTTGCCACGACAAACGACAAAAAGGAACTCGATGTCTTCGCTGCGATCGAAGTGCTCACGAAACAGGTAAGCAAATTATGTGCCAAACGCCCACCACATATCAGTTCTAGATCGAGTAGCCGTTCAAACAAGGAACAGACTAATGGTAAAGGATGGTGTTGGTATCATAGTACTTACAGAGAAAAGGCTGCCAATTGTAAGGCTCCCTGCAAGTACCAGGTGAAATCAAATGACAGTTAGTAGTGGCGGCAACAGACTGTCCGAATCCTGGTAGCTGCCTGTTTGTTACAGATCAAATAACAAAACGCCAGTTTTTGGTCGACTCCGGCTCTGACTTATCTTGTTACCCTCGGCGGCTACTATGGGATCGACGTCAAGCCACTGATTACGACCTCAGCGTGGCCAACAACAGTACCACAAAAACTTTCGGGACACTCCATCTCAAATTGAATTTAGGACTTCGACGCAGTTTCCCATTGAGTTTCATCGTGAGTACTCCTATCATTGGTTCTGACTTCATGGCATATTACCACTTACTGCCGGATTGCCGTACCAAACGTCTTATCGATGGCGTTACAGGCTTGGCTGTAGGTGGTAAGGTGCCCTCTTTAAGTCAATGCAGCATAAAATCCGTTGCCGACCCTTCCCGTTGGTCTGAAATTCTCGCGGAATTTCCGGACATCACGCGTCTCGCCGGATTGCCCAGAGCAATAAAACATCAAATAGTTCACCATATCCTGACGTCACCAGGACAGCCAATAACCTGCCGCCCACGACGCTAAGCTCCAGGTAGACTGAAAATTGCCAAGCAGGAGTTCGAGGAAATGATCAAGGTAGGTATCGCTAGACCTTCGAGCAGTCCGTGGTCTTCACCATTACACTTAGCACCGAAAGGGGAGAACAGCTGGCGTCCTTGCGGTGATTACCGTGCGCTGAACGCCCGAACTATACAGTCAGACACATCCACGATTTCTCGCACAATCTGGCTAACTGCACGATATTTTCCACAATTGATCTGGTAAAGGCTTACCATCAAATACCTGTCAACCCAGACGATATATGCAAAACGGCCATAACTACTCCATTTGGACTTTACGAATTCCCTTTTATGACATTCGGATTGCAAAATGATGGACAAACTTTTCAACGCTTCATAGACGAAGTTACCAATGGGTTGGACTTCTGTTATGCATATATTGATGACATTTTGGTATTCTCTAAATCAGAAGAGGACCACAAACAACATTTACGTGTCTTATTCGGAAGGCTTTCTGACTACGGTGTTATCGTTAATTCGCAAAAATGTGTTTGGGGTACTACTAAGGTGAAGTTTCTCGGATAATTAGTGTCTTCTAAAGGCACCCACCCTTCACCGGAACGCGTCGACGCCCTACGGCAGTATCCATCACAAAAATCTATGAAGGGACTACGTCGGTTTTTAGGAATGGTAAACTTTTATAGCCGGTTTATTCCCAAGGCTGCCGACCTGCAATCACCACTTCACGACATTCTCAAAGGCCCGAGGGCAAAAGGGTCCCAAGCTGTACAATAGACTCCTGAGTTGAAAGAAGCATTCACCGCATGCAAAGAAAGTCTTGCGACCGCTACACTCTTAGCACACCCTCATCCGGGCGCATGCCTTGGACTTTTTACCGACGCATCTAGTCAATATATTGGTGCATGTCTGCAGCAACTAGTCGATGACAACTGGCAACCTATAGCTTTTTTTTCGAAGAAAATTTCGGTAAAACAAGGTGCGTGACATGTTTATTACCGTGAATTGCTCGCCATCTATGAATCGGTGAACTATTTCAGGCACATATTGGAGACCCCTAGTCTAGACTCTAGACCAGGGGTTAGGTTAGGTTAGGTTCTAGAGTCAAGACTATCAAGCTCTCGCTGTATCTCAGGACACGGATGATGAACTCAAACATTTTATTGACAATAGTTCATCTCTACGTTTGGAGAAGGTACTAGTGCCCGGATCTTCAGCCTATATTTATTGCGACACGTCAACGGGACGCCCACGACTATTTTTGCCACAACGATTCCGGCGTCACGCATTTGATCAGTTACACAACCTTAGTCACCCCGGTGCACTCGCAACAGCTCACTTAGTTTCAGAACGATTTGTGTGGCCAGAAATGAAAAGGGATTGCCGTTCTTGGGCACGTGCCTGCTTCCACTGCCCGCGGTCGAAAGTAAGCCGACACATCTCGGCCCCAATGGGAAACTTTGAAACACCTTCACGCCGGTTCAAACATGTTCATGTCGATATCATCGGTCCATTGCCGCCATCTCAGTCCTTTAGGTAATTAGGTACTGCCTGGCGGTAATCGACCGTTGTACACGTTGGTCAGAGGTGTACCCACTCGAATGTATAACTGCAGATGATGTCACTAAGGGTTTCCTCAATTGCTGGATTTCACGCTTCGGGGTACCTCAATACGCTACAACTGACCGTGGTACTCAGTTTGTTTCAGACACTCTGAAAACTTTAGCAAAACGTTTTGGTTTTACGCTCCACCCCACTACCAGTTGGCACCCTGCTGCAAACGGATTCATCGAACGAATGCACAGACAACTAAAGGAAGCAATCATGACCCACGTCAAAGATTCGTGAACTGAGTCACTGCCCATCGTTCTTCTCGGAATACGTTCTTCACTTAAGGAAGACTTTAAGGCAACGTCTGTAGAACTTGTTTATGGTGAGCCTCTTAATCTTCCTGGCGATTTCTTTGCAGATAATCAAGAAAATAGCAGTATGGAATACCCTACTTGCTTACTCGACCGTCTTCGTATAATTATGAATAAAATTCGTCCAGTGCCTGCATCTCGCCACTCGAATCCACGAAGATTTGTTAGCTTTTGTAATATAGTTGTAATATAGTGTAATCACCAGGGCTCAGAAGTTGTGGCACTAAAAATGGTAATTTTTAGCTCCTTAATAAGCACTAAAAAACTCAAAAATATGCGCTATAAATAGCACGAAAAATCAAAAAATATGCATTTAACTTGAAAAAATTATAATTATAAATTTATTACAAAAAAAATTAAATGTTATTATTTTATTAATTATGATTCATTAAAAAAAAAAATTAAACGTTATTATTTATTAATAATTAGTAATTACATTTGCCAATTATTACTATACTGTTATATAATTATTATACTGTTTTATAAAACGTTTATGTTCATTGACGGTTCAGGGACTGGCTAGACTGGTTGAATTAAAACTGTTAACAAACATGTTAAATTATTTAATTATGTGTGCTTATAATTAAATTAATGCATATATTTACCCTGGGAATTATACTGGATTATTAAATGTCCACTACATTAAGTAAAAAATCTATGCTAGTTATCTGTTTACGTTGTGCGGTTGGTGAACTTCATGAAGTATACACATTTTTGTTTTACATACTATTTACATACTCTTTTTATGAACAAATTACAAAGGTGTGTGAAAGAAATAATTTATACCTAGTGGGTAGTGGGTTTCTTAAAAAAGTTTGGTTAGATATAGACTTTGGAACTTTGGAAGAACTCGGGGACGCTCCTCAATTGTTGGTGGCTGTAGTCCCCCCTCAACATTTTCCCACTTTAACCACTGTATTTAAACTATTAAATTGTCAGTCCCCCCCCCAATAGAAAATTCCTGAGAACGCCATTGACCTGTACTATAAATGTATAATATAGTGTTATAAAGATGCCGATAATATTAAGAAAACTGTTATTACTTAACTAGTAATGAACAAATATTCAAATAGAATTATATAATATTGATATTTACTAATTTACTATTCTACAATAATAATATTAAATGGTCATTTTTCTCAACTGGTACATATTAACATTTTTTTTGTAACAACTTTAGTACAATATATAATATTATATTGGTCTGCAGAATTTTTTTTGGATTACCTACCTAGTTAAAATACCTTTCAAAATATTGAAATGACACCCCTGAATTGAACAACTGTAGTACACAATGTATTTAATTTGTTTTTACGTTTCCTTGTAACGCGCTAACACTAGGAAAGTAAGAACACTATTTTCTAAAACTTAAGCAAATGGTCTATGGGAGGAGGATCTGACCACCACATCACCCCCTTTGTATATACGCCCTGACGACTACATTATCTCGTTAAAATTAATAAATAAATTGTAAAACTTATTATTATTGCACAAGATTTATAATATTTTATTGTATAATATATTGTAAATCCTAATCTCAATGGACTTAAATTAAATACAAAATAAACCATATTAATATATTATATAGTTCTATACATTGTTGTGTTGTCACCTAATATGTTATCGTAATATATTTGTTCGTCGCGACTCGCCACCGTCGTCTTTTGATCGCCGGCTATTGTAAATTGTAATTATTTGTTATACAGAAATAATTTATTAATTATTATGAAAAGGAAAATATTTTTTTTATATTTCAATTAGTTTTCAAGTCCTTTGTATTTTATGTGAATGAGGCCCTGGAAAATAAATGTTCCAGAGGCTTTTGGTATGCCAGACCGACACTGGTACAGAGAACATTCCATTGTTTAAAGAGGTTAGTATCTCTATTTTTTTTAACATAATATAATATATGTTTTTTTTTTTTTGGATACTTTTTTTTTTCTGTAAGATTTTCATTGTCATAGTAACTTATTAACAAAAACATACATATGATTCATAGATTTTCCCTGTAGAGGAAAACTATTGAGTAGCATAATATGGTTTTCTTTTTAAACACAGTACACACCGGCGCTTATTCCTGGCAATTTGTAATGGAGTTATTGAAAATATGATCCATTCATTGCCAACATGGTTTACAATTACTTCCGTAAATTATTTTAGGCATTTAGATACCATACTCCTAGAAACAAGTATGTACGGGTTTTCTCCAATACCAGTTTGATAGCTACCCACCACACAAAAATGTATAGCAATAAGTACCTATAGGGAATAATAAGTTGAATTCAATTAACGCATATTTTACTATTGTCAAGCTAACTATAAGTTATTCGGTACTAACCCTTCTTGTCAAAGATAAACTATTTGTCCGTTTTTTAATAGTCATGTGAGGCCTTACTCTGGCAATAATATAATGCACACATTCTTTTGATAATCGAAAGTCCTTTATAAATTTGGTATCACTAATGAGGAATGGGTCTTCAGCATCTCTTAGAAGTTAAGTATACGAAAATTATTAGTAACTTAAATTTAAATGACTGAATGTCTGAATGGAAGTTAGGAAATACGAGATGAATATAGAATTATAATTTACAGAAAGTACATATAGAACCTAAATCCCCCTCTATTTGCGCCTGTGATAGTAGGTAGGTATTTAACCATAGACCTTAATACACAGTCTATGTATTTACCTCATTTGTTGTCTATATTGTATTCTTCTCTGTCTTGGATTAGGAATTCCAAAAAGTAAAGCCATTCTAAAAAGTAGGTAGTAAGTACGTTTACCTTGTGAACCTATTTAAAAATTAAATATTCACAGTAAAATTATACGTTTATTATATAGTTTTCATTTTACTCGGGTGCCTTTTAATAAGTGAGATGATTAAGAATAATTAAAATTATTTTGGTACATTTCATTGATATCACCATTTACATTCATTTCACCCATGATTATCGTTCCATATCACGTTTTTAAAACACCCTTTCACTCACGGCATTCATTTCATCTCACTCACCACTGTCATTTTTCCACAACACCTAAGTCACACGGTTTCAAGTTGTTGTCAGCGTTTAAGCACTATACACGTAACATAAGTTCCACACGTTTATTATTCAACACAAGTACAATATAATTATTGAAACAAACAATGAGTAGCACATATTCCTAAGCTCGGATATGGCGCACTCGTAAACGTACCACCGTTGTGGTCGCCGGAACTAGACTAACTTAAACCTAACAACTAATTAAGAATGTCAAGGAGGGGTGTCCTGACTCCTCGTCAGTGTTGCCAACAACTCGGCCGTCCTGACACCAATACGTCCTCGTATTGACTCTCCTTAGACATAGTCTTCCAGATAGGTTGGTCGACGTTTGACCCTTTGATTTGGTGTATCTTCTGGCACCTCATCACACTGTGTGTCGATCCCCTCTGCGATACTGTTATCGGTGTGTGCGGTTTCTTCATCCGAACTGTTTAACGTACTGTTGTTTTCCTCCTCGATGTCACCTTCATCTTCAACCAGTCGCCACTGCTTCAACTGCTATACGTGAGCAGTCGTACTGAAGATGCGTCCACCATCCCTGGACACACTGGAAACTCGGTAGGTGTCGTTAGGGAGTACTTTAAGTACTTTCAAAGGACCCCTGTATTTCACCTGTAGTTTTGACGCTTCCCCGGTTATTGGTGGCGCAGACATTGCTACAACCTCTCCAGTATCGAACACCACATTGTCCACATGTTTGCGGTTGTAGTACTCTGCCATGACCTTTTGTTTCTCACAAATTGTATCCCTTGCCTCCTGTTGGACTGTCTTTGGGTCCTGACACGCAGTACTGTTTAAACCTAAACTCTGTACCACACCGTTGGTCAATTTAGGAGTGTACCCATGTAAGATCTCATATGGTGTCCTCTCATTAGCCTTGTTGTATGCCGAGTTCAAATACATTTCAACATCTTTGACAGCCCTGTCCCAATGAGTATGCTTATCAGTATATATCATTAAAGTGCTTACTAACGTCCGATTCACTCTCTCCACCTGTCCGTTCACCTGCGGGTGTCTGGAAGAGTTCAATGTATGTTTAATTGAATGGACCTGGCAAAACTCCTCAAAACGTTTCGATGTAAAGGCAGTAAATCGATCTGAAATAATTCGGTCTGGAGAACATAGTACTTTTATTAACTCTGATAGGTTCTTAATAACCTCTTGTGTCGTTGTACTCCTGGTCGGATACAAATGCACATATTTGGTCAAGTTGTCAATCATCACGAGGATATACTTATTATTTTTTACCTAGTCTCAAACGGTCCTACATGATCCACATGTACTACTGCAAAGGGGAGAGCCCCTGGCGTTATAGGATGCAAAAACCCTGGTTTCTTACCACCCGGCTTCTTGCACACTAAGCAGTCTATACACATCCTGATATGCTGCTTAACGTACCTCTTCATGTTTGCAAACCAGTAGTCTTTCTGTAACCTTTGAATTGTGCGGTCAACTGCGAAGTGCCCTGACAAATCATGAGCAGCAATCACCAGTCCCTTCCGCATAGATTTTGGTACAACGAACAGCTCTCTTCCTTTCACTGTACGATACAGTATTCCATACTGCAACTTGAACCCGTTGACTATTCCGTTTTCTCTTTTGTTCCGCCCTCTCTCATCCATCATCAAAATTCTAATGACTTCACGAGTGTGCGCATCACCTTGTTGCATATTTATTTATTTATTTATTTATTTATTGGAATATACGAGATAGGCCCTTTTTTTACATAGAAAAAACTGATAATAATATGGTTTACAAAGAAAGAAAAGTAAATAGAAGATGGAAGAGAAAAAAAAATATAGTACTCTCTCCGACAAAGTGATTAATGTGAAGGCTTGGGGGTAAGCATCATGCTATTGACCCTCTGAAGTGTCTGTCTCTTCCACCGGTGCTCTGCTTAGAGCGTCTACATGGCTCATACGTGGACCGGGCCGGTACCTTACTTCAAAATCAAACTCCTGTAACCGGTCAAACCATCGGGCGATCTGATGTTTTGTGGTTTTATATTCGTTCAAATAAATCAATGCTTGACAGTCAGTAAAAATCGTGAACCTTCTGCCCAATAAAAACGAGCGTAGCCTTTCCAGTGTCCACACGATTGCCATCAACTCTAAACGACTTGTATGATAATGGCGCTCTACCGGAGTAGTCTTCTTACTCACACAGTAGACTAGGTGTAACATCTTATCCGTGTCCTCTTGAAGTAACATGCCTGCCAACCCGTCGGCACAAGCGTCGGTGTGCACCTCGGTAAATGGTGAATCTTGGTTGAACATTTTCAGTATGGGTTTACTGGTTAGCAGACGTTTCAGTTCATTGAACGCTCTGTCCTGTTCCTCTGACCTCAGGAAAGGTTCACCTTTTTTTGTTAGACGAGTTAACGGTTCTGCTTGGTGAGCATAATTGTGCATAAATCGTCTAAAAAACCCTGCCAGTCCAAGAAAGCGTCGTAGGCCATGCACATTTGACGGTTGAGCAAAATCCCCAATAGCGTTTGCTTTTTTCCCAGGACTGACTGTCCCCACAGCTACCTTGAAACCAAGAAACTCCAACTCAGTTTTTCCAAAATTGCATTTGCTTCGTTTTAATGTCAGCTTGGCACCTCTGAGCGCCTCAAACACCAACCTGAGTTTCCCAAATAGATGCTTCCAGTTTTCAGCTGGGATGATCATATCATCTAAGTAGTACCTTAGTACACCGTTACTTTTCAAGTCATGGAAAACCTTTTGCATTAACTTCCAAAACACAGCAGGAGCATTCTTCAAACCAAACGGTAATCTTTCGAACTGTGCTGTCTCATCTGGAGTAATGAACGCTGTTTTATGTTTGGCATCTTCATTCAACGGAATTTGCATGTATCCGTTTGATAAATCCAACGTGGCAAACATTTTACCATGAGAAAGTGCACTCAACTAATTATGCCACTCTCTTTCCACTCCTTCATTATCGTTGATATACACTGACGGTCATAAGCTGACGTTTTATACGGATAACACATAAATGGTACACTATTTGCGTTTTCGGTCAAATCCACTTTAATCAAACTAGTGCAACCGAGTTCCTTTAGATTCTTAGCAAACACATCCCTGTACTCATTGATCAACAGCATTAACTCTTCCCGTCCTTTTGGGCCTATGCTGTCATCAATATGTACCTCACTTGCTGCAATTGGTTCTTGCTCACGCACAGTTGTAGATTGGATACATTGTTCACGATTACCAGTTGTCTCTCCAGTAACCTGGTTTATATGCCAACCCAATAGTGCGCACTGAGAGCTACCAACCAGACACATATTCACTTTGCTTATGTCTAAGCCTTCCTCTTGATTGGGTAGTTCCTTCATCAGCTGCGGATCTGCTGTGGTAGGCACGATAACAAGTTCATTATTGCCTTTATAGTAACTTACTGAAGGTAAGTCCAACCAGTCACGTCCGACAAGCATGTCTGTGGGTATGGACTTGTCTGGGACCACCAGAACCAGATGATCCTTCGTTTCGACTTCACCAATCCTGATGTTAGCCACTGCTTGTCCTACAGTGGTCGTTCCCGATGTGTATATGTCACCGACCACGAACAATGGCTGTACCGCCGGTTCCCATCTGATCCAGCTCTGCTGTGCTGCACTGATACGGATTAGACATACAGAACAGCCGGTTTCAATGAGTCCCTGTAACTTATTACCATTAACAACAATTGTTTTAACATATGAGCTAAGTGATGACACTTTCCCCAATGTTTGGACTTGATGTACTCGAGGAATTTCTTCAGTCTCCGTAGTACACTTTCCCCGTGTATGTCCATCAGCCCCGCACTATGAACACTTCAACGGTCTTTTGGGCTTCAGACAATCGTGGCTTATGTGTCCGTAACCATTACAATTGAAACACTTTGGTCCTATATTATTAGACATTTTAACTTAACCCAACTGTAGTTGAAGCGTAGTGGTTTTGCTCCCCACACTCGGCGCTTCGGTTTTGTCCAGTTTCCTTACTCCTGTACCGGCGTTTTGTTTCACAGATTGCGATCCAGTCGGTCCAAAATGAACGTTGCGGCGATCCGATAGTCGTTGCCAGTCCAACATGTCACTTATTAGCTCCCCTAGCCAGTGCATACATAGCCAGCTCACGAGCAAACACGCCTTCCAACACATGATCTCGGATATCTGAGAACGTCAGTTGAAGGTCTCGGCACAATCTTAGTACCGTCCTTTCAACTCGTCTCACTTATCCGACGTCCGTAATTCTCGTATGAATACTCGTTTGAATTGGGTTTCGAAAGCACTCCAATTATCAAACTCTCGTCCGGTATACCAGTTTAGCGCCGCTCCAGCCAAAAGTGAACGCACATACTGTATCCGGTAATTAAAGATCCATCCGTTCAGATCAGCGATGCCTCTTATTGTGTCGAGCCACACTTTCGCCTCTTGAGTCGACTCTCTTCCGTTGAAAACACTAACGGACTGATTCAGATTAGGAAACACTCGAAAATCCCTTACAGGAGTCGCTGGCCAACTAACCTGCTCACGTCCCATCAATTGCTGAATTTGCTCACGCAACAGCGTTACCTGATTGAACAATTCAACGTACGTCGGTGCTTGACCCACGTTTGGGACGTTACCATCTTCGTTACCCATTATTGGTTATGATAAGAACGTATTTGTTTACTAACACGAGTATGATAACTTTTTATCATTGATGATAAGAATATCACGTTACCAAGCAGCTATACCTATACCTTGGTACTTTGCCGAATATAACCTCACTTTCTTGCGGCGTCAACACTCAACACGAAATACGACCTCGTGACAAGCATGAACGCATTCGGCATTACCTTCTTTCGTTCCAATCCCACTTCTGATTTGTTGTCAGGGTTTAAGCACTACACACGTAACATAAGTTCCACACGTTTATTATTGAAACAAACAATGAGTAGCACATATGCCTAAACTCGGATATGGCGCACTCGTAGACGTACCACCGTTGTGGTTGCCGGAACTAGACTAACTTAAACTTAACAACTAATTAAGAATGTCAAGGAGGGGTGTCCTGACTTGAGTGTTGAAAACAAAGTCATATCATCTCATTAAATCAATATCAGTCTTTCAAAACCGCCCCCCAGCACTCCCCACAATAAAATTATAGTACAACACACAATAACATACACTATAATAAAATTATCTAATACTTACAATTAATTTGCAATAGGCAATGTTGCCAGATGTACGGTTTGTACCTTACATATACGGTTATTTTAACTTCCGTAAGGTGTAAGGTGTGAACATTGTAACCATACTGAACTATACGGTAATCTGATATTTTAAAATAGTTTATATGGAAATAATATATAAATAGTCATTCTTCATATAAAATATATTATTATTTACTATCGTGTGTTATTATTGTTTACTTACATGAACATCCGTATTCAAACAATTTATTGGGGGTATAGCGTGCCTATTATTTGTATTACCACTCTGTAGTTTCTTGGTATAGTCATTACTTAGTAACCATTTGTTTTATATGCCATTTTGAATTCAATTTACGACCTAAAAAAGTTGATTTGTGTCTTGTAAATGCCGATTTCAGTTTACACATATAAAATTTACAATGTCGGATTTTGAGGATACACCTGAGGTGTTTATATAATTTATATAAATATATATCTATTTCTTGTAATTTATTGAATATCCATATAGGGATTAAGTGATGATGGGTCTTCTACACCAAAGAAAACTCGTCAAATACGTAATGAATTATACAAACATGAAAAAAAAAAACATCGCAAACAGAAATACCGTAAAGAATGGAAGAGTAAAAATGAATTTAAAGGCTGGTTTTTTAACCAGAGGAAAGTGATTGTTTTCATGCCAAGTGCTCTAAATGTAAAGTAAGCTTTCTTTCGGAGTTGACATCGATTAAAAAATCCTTGTAAAAGTATAGGTTACAAAAATGCAGTTAAAAGCACACCCATAGGCTCTCAATTACTTTTAACTAGTTTTACATCTAATAGAATTGATCCGATTGATCAACAAGTTAAAATAGCAGAAAGTAAGTTGTCTGGTTTTCTGGCTGAACATAATATTTCATTTTTATCTATTGATCATCTTGACCCTCTATTAAAGTACATTTCCCTGATTCGAAGATATGTTAGAAAATGAAATTAAAAGGGACTAAAGCAACAAATATCATAAAAAATGTCTTTGCACCAATTGAAAAATCTATCATAACAAAAAAACTTAATAATAATAAGTTTTCTGTGATGATCGATGAATCTACAGACATAGCTTGTACTTCAACTATGTGTATAGTTGTTCGTTCTTTCGATACAAATATTGGTAAAATATCTACACAGTTCTTGGATTTGTTGCCTGTCTATGACTGTGAACACCCTGATCAGGTTAATACTTGATTCAACGTCACAACTCCACGGAGACAGCTCAACCGAGTCACAGTCAAGGACCGATCACCTTTGACAACTCCGGAGGCAAAGAACAGAATTTCAAAAGACAGGCAAGCAGACAAAGGCAGGATGAATTCAGCAGTAGGTGCAACAGTAATGTGAGTTAATTAATTAAGTTGAAGATAAATATATTGAAAATAGAATTGTAGCTTTGGGTGCACGTCTCACGTTGGTTTTTTTAAACTAGCGTTATTTTTTTTAAATATTATTGGTGAAGGTGTAATATTTGGATAAATAAAAATAAAACAAGCTTGTTAGGGAAAATAGGATTTCTTTGTAATAGCTTAAACTCAGATTTACGTTAGATTTATAATATAGACCAAAGTTTGTTGTTCCTTTTACGTATCGAATTATTCGTTTAACCATAGTCCAATGTACCGACGTTGGATTATTTAAAAACCTACTAACATATGAGGTAATCTTAAGTATTGAATCATTTTGTAACTTTATTATTTCCATTTCCAAAACTGTTTTATCAAGATTAAACAAACCTCCAATTTCATTGGCTCGTGTCTCAACATCCCCAGAAAATGGATTTGATATAAACTGCAAAAATGGCTCAAGTATGTCGTTGAATCTCCTTTTAAATTCGGAACGTAAATTTTAAATTATATTTATGTGGTTTGTAGGTTCATAAATATTTTCAGAATAATTAATTATTGTTTCTTGACGCGTAGGGAAATGCTGGAAATCCCCATTTTTCATTTTATTTTCCCAATATGCTAATTTACTAGAAAACGCTTGAACTTCTGATATCATATTAATAATTTGTTTTTCTTTTCCTTGTAACCCTAAATTTAGGAAATTAATTTTTTCAGTAGTATCAAATAAAAATTTAAAATCTTCAAGATAATGGTAAATTCCTAGAATACATTATAGCAATCCAAATTATCCGATTATTTATTACGCGATCGACCGATAATGGTAAAATTAATTTTTATAACGATCCACCTATATTCCTAGAAAGATCGACCAGTCGATCGCGATCGACTGGTTGGCGACCCCTGTTCTACACCATGTGACCTATCAATCAGTATAGATAATTCCTTCGCATCTAATAAATTAAATTTGCTAATAAGTTAATTGGCATAATTTAATTGATGGAAATGTATCGATCCGCCTGTATACCTAATTATTTCCATATCTAGAAAATAATCTAGATTACCTTGTGTTATCTCAAACTGTTGTTCAAGACCTTGTAATAACATATTTGTTTTTATTACACTATTAGACGCTATCAGTCCACCATCAACAAAAATAGCTAAAATTAATGTTTCATTATTATTATGATTAAAATAAATACACGAGTCCGATGTACTTTGTTCTAGATTAAATTCTAACAAAAATTTCATAAACCTGGAATTCCAGCACCTTGGTGATTGTTTTAGTCCATACAAACTTCTGTTTAATTTGCAAACTCGTTCTGTTGAATCTCCAAATCCAATTGGATGGCTCATGTAAATATCTCCTTCTAAATTACCATACAAAAATGCCGTTTTTATATCAAACTGTCTCAGCTCATAATTTTCGGCTGCTGCGACGGCTAGAATCGTCCTTATTGATTCATACCGTACAACTGGCGAAAATGTTTCCGTGTAATCAATACCGTATAGTTGTCTTGATCCATCAACAACTAAACGAGCCTTGAAACGGTCATTATGTTTAATCTTAAACACCCATGAATTGTTTATCACATTGACTCCGACTGGTTTTGATACCAAAGTCCATGTGTTGTTTTTATGTAGCGAGTCCAATCCTTCATTCATGGCCTGTTTCCATTCATCTGATTGTTCACAAGTAATTGCATCATTATAATTAATTGGTTCAGTTATAAACTCTGTACATGCTTATCTACTTGGTTTATTTATTTGTTTACGGTTTCTTAGATTATACGTGCTTACCAATTCCTCTTTTTTGTCTAGGTCAGTTTCATTCGTAATTTCGCTTATACTATGTTGTATTTCTTCAGGTTCATTTTCATTTATTGAAACCTCGTTATTAGTTATTTCATTTTTAAAAATAACTTCTCTACTTACGTTAATTTTGTTTATTTCCGGGTACCATACTCTGTATCCTTTTACATTTTCTACATACCCGACAAATATTCCATTTTCGCTTTTCGGGTCCCACTTTTGTAGTTTTTGTTTTAGTATGTGTGTAAAGACATTTGTACCAAAAACTCTTAGATGTTTTATTTCCAGTTCTTTTCCAAAATAAATTTCAAACGGGGTTTTGTCTTTAATTGAACTCGTACCTGTTCGGTTAATTGTATAGACAGCCGTATTAACACTTTCGGCCCAAAGTGATTTATTTAAATTTTTCGTATATAACATAGTCCTTGCGGCTTCTACTATCGTCCGGTTCTCTCATTCAATCTTACCGTTTTGTTCTGGTGTATATACAACTGCTGTTTGATGACTTATTCGATACTTCTGTAAAACACTAGTTATTTCTTTATTAACAAACTCTAAGACCTTAAAATCAGTATCAGTTTTTATTTTACGTATCAAAGTTTCGATTAAATCTTTTACTTCACTTTTATGTATTATAAAATGAACTATTCTAAAATGTCAATAATCGTCTTTAAATAATAAAAAATATTTTGAACCCCCAATAGAATTCGTTTCCATCGGTCCACATAAGTCTGCGTGTATTATTTCTCCCACAACTGTTGTGTTCGTTGTACTAGACTTCAACGTTTGTTTGTGTTGTTTACCAATTATGCACGCATCACAGAAAAAAAGATTTTTGTTATCTGACACTTTTATATTATGTTTTTCTAATATATTATTAACATACTTTATATTTTTGTGATTCAACCTTTCATGCCATAACTGTAATGTGTCCTTGATAATAATATTTGCCTGTGGTTCTTCTTTATCGAGCGTAATGACTTTGAACTCTAATTTAAATAGTTTTCCTTGTCGCTCACTTGTACAGACTATTTGTCCGTTTCTTGAAGACACACACTTATTTTTATCTGATGAAAGCGTTAAACCTTTATCTAATGCTGTACAACATGAGAACAAATTGTATTTTAACTCCGGCACATACAATACGTCTAATAAATAATTATTATTCCATTTATTGTTCGCAAATGATAATATTTTTATATTACCTTTTCATTTTGCTAACAAAATTGAACCGTCACCTATTCTTACTTGAATTGGTTCGTCAAATAATACGTAGTTGTGAAACCAATTTATTTTAGCGCACATATGATCGGATGCTCCTGAGTCAAATAACCAACTCTCCTCAATATCATTTGTACTAACTGTTCCAGTAATAAACTCACTGATGTCATCACTTTTACTTGTTTCTCCGTGTGTTTTCTTATTTTCTTGATTCCTTAAGTATTTTCTGAATTGCATTTTCCAATGCCCTGGTAATTTACAAAAATAGCAATTACTGGTTTTCTAGTAGCTTTATTTTTATTTCCAGATTTCCAATCCTTCTTTGGATTATTTTCCGTTAGTTCTATTGATTTTTGATTTTCCATTACTGACCAATTTCTTTGTTGTAGCCTTGATTCTTCAATTAATAATCTACTTGTTAAATTATTAATTGTTTTATCAACTGCTGGGATAGAGTCCCAAGCACTGTAAAAATGATTATACATATCAGGTAAAGCCATTAATATTTTCGTCATAACCATATTGTCGGTTACTGGTTCCTCTAATTGCTTCAGTCTCATTCCCGAATTTGCTACTTTGGCAATATGAGTCGACATATCATCAGTCGCCTCCAGTGAATAACTGAAAAATTTCTGTTGAAACAAATGTATACTTGTTTTGAATTTTGGTTCATGAATAGCGAGAAGTTTTTCCCACATTTCATACGCATTTGCACAGTTAATCAAATTCTGTAATGGACCATTGTCCACTGAAGTTACAATTAGTTTTTGACACTTACCGTCAGCTCTATACCAGTCAATAGTAACTATTGACATATATGTCAACTGTTCACCTATGCCATCTAGCTCTAGCTTCCTCATCAGTTTCTTTTTCTGTCTTAGTTATTTCAGAACTAGGCTTTTTCTACTCTCCTGTTATTATTGACGTTAGGTCAAATAAGTTAAAAATTACCTTCATTTGAAATTTAAACAACGGCCAATTTACCGCGTTAGATAATTTTGTTATTTTCACTGAATCGTCCACCTTGACTTTTCCTGTTTATAAAACTTTGAAGAATAACAGAAATTACTTGTATAGAGAGTAGTTCCTTTGAAGTCCAAGTTTATCCAGATAATGTGTCTGGGCTCATAACCTATTGAGTTTAGGATTATGTTTGTAGATTGATCTGGACAAAAATGACTACACTGTTTTTAGTAATAAGTTATATTTTCTAAACACATGACTTACACATAAGTAATATTATAATGTAGTAACGACAGTATGCTAAAAGTCGGCCTTATATACAAGTGACCTATTGACCTAAGTATCACGCCACTGTTTAACAATATCTGATTCAATAATTTATTTATTTATTTATTTATTATTAACAATACGGGCTGAGCCCAATTAATATAATATGATAACACTAATTAAATTTAACTATGATAACAATAATAACAGTAGTAACAATTACTAATTTACAAAATTAGGGAAATGAATAACATGATAAAAAATACAACAAATACTAAAGAAATAATGGATCACTATTTGCCATACGCATCATTCTAAGGATTGGCTGGTTCTCAGAATAGTTGGTGTTGCATTTAGGAATAAAAAATGGATAAGTTTGACGGACAGAAGAGCAAGGGACTTTAAAGTTAATCATGGAAAGTAAGACAGGAGATCAATACAGCCATCTATTAGTAAGCGGAGAAATTTCAGGTTAGCAACTTTTCTTCTATCAACTAATGATGATAAACCAAGTTTAATTAAAATTGGGGTATAATCATGAAGTGGATGGTCGATACTTAAAATAAATGCAGCATAATTTAGGAATTTACGTTGTACTCTTTCAATTTGATCCTTACCACCCTACCAAGTGGAAGGATCCCATACAACAGCACCATATTCCAAAATAGACCTTACGTAAGCACAATATAAGGTTTTTATGGGAGAAGTCAACTTAAATTCATTACAAAGTCTTTTAATAAAACCAAGCATTTTTAGGGCCTTGCAGCATATATTGTCAAAATGGGCATGGAAATTTAACTCTCGGTCAAACGTGATTCCTAGGTCCAAAACTTTATTTTCAGATAAATTTAAAGGATTAGCATTGATAGATTAGGAATAATCAAATCTATCACGAGTTATGTAAAACGACATTGAGTGACATTTCAAGAAATTGAGTTCAAGATGATGTTCATTTGCCAAAGTAACTAAAGAGTTGATATAATTTTGAAGTAGATAACAGTCATTGAGAGAATCAATTTTTAAAAATAATTTTAGGTCATCTGCAAATAGAAGAAAATGACTGTGACTAAAAACTTTTTTAATATTGTTAACAAATATTGCAAAAAGTAAAGGAGAGAGATTACCTCCTTGAGGAACACCAGAAGTTACATCAATAATAACAGACTTACTACCATGAACATCAACAATTTGCTTACGATCTCGAAGATACGACTGAAACCACGACAACAATGGTTCACCAAACCCAGAATTAAGTAAAACATCAATTCTTTGATGCTCGGTACTAACAACTTAAGTAAAAAATGTGCATTTTTGACTTAGTATGTTGAAAAATGCAGAAAAAAATAGATTTTTTTTGGTACAATACTCTTAAGTCGTATTAATAACGGTTCTCTTAAATTGCGTGGTATTATAGTCATAATTTTGAGTAGTTGAATTATCGTTTTGGTACAACTATCTCATGTCTACTTATGATAATACTATTTTTAAATATAACAGTTTGAAAAAGTAAAAATCACTTAAGTCAAGTTACGATTTTGAAGCCACTTTACAATATACATATTTTTGGTGATACAATATACATATGTCGACATATGTTTTTAATATCTTTATTTAATACGACTTAAGATATTCGTACCGAGTGAAAACACAATATTATTGCTACCATATACTACTTTTATTACTACCTCCCTATTATTATAGTAACTTATTTGATTAAAAATATTGAAAATGGAACGTTTTTAACCCAATGGTTGGTAAATAAAATGTGGTACATTATCTATACAGGATGATTCTTTTATCAAACAACACTCATTATTTGAAAAAGTATTGACTTTTTTCAAACTTTTTTTTTTCAAAATTGTAGATTTATGCTGTTCTAGAATTGTATATTTTTTTTATATTTTTCACCCTTATATTTAATAGGTAAACCACTATCAACTTTTGATTTTCAAATGGTAACTTATACTAAATATTTCATAATTGAATAAAACTATTTTTTTCATTAATTATTACGTTCAAATTTTCATTTTTCGTTAATCCGTTGATGAGATATTGCTCCTCGAAGTTAGGTGGTTTTTGGAGATAGTTATAGTGTGTAAATGTGTTATACCTCGTCAGTAGATACCGCAGCTATCAGGATTTTTATGTCCCAGGGCAAAATATATCACACTTTTCAAATCAGTTCATAAAGTACTTAGAGCCCCTAAATGTATTTTATTATGCCCATCTTTCAGGGAGTCATGAAGTTCACCCCACGAAGGTGATTGCGGCACTGGTCAGTGGTCGTAATAATTATTATCAATTATAAAGACCAGAAGTTACAAGTAATAAATTCGATATCGTTCGACCCAAGATATAGCGGTGATAATCTTTGTACCTGACAGCCGATAATACCTACATACAATAACAAACGATCATATTATTATTGGTCTGCTTCTGTTTGTAGCTTCGATCACAATTTAATCTCTATTCTATGCTACGACACACCATAGACTAACATACGGAAATACAGAATTATTTTAGTCCATAAAAGTTAATGTTGTCCATGGTTTATCATTATAACTGTCTATCATACAGAAAATACAGTGTTACCAACATGTGTATTTACAAAATAAATAGTAACAGTAACTTGCTGTTTATTTATGTCGCAAATAAAATCCCGTTTTTGTTACTCTAGTAGACTGCCTGTATTACAGTTGCAACAACTGTTAACTGTTTTAAATCGCTGCTGTAGTAGTGTACAGTAATTTATTGTCTGTAGTTGTCTGTTACTCGTTACTGACTATTATAATTTATAGCATGGTGCATACTGCATAAATATACAATATATGATATAACAACCATATTTAATAATGGACCATAATGGCATAATATTAACAATAAATTAACTTAATAGGTAACTTAATTTTTTTTTTATACATATAATATACATATAACTGTGTATAGCTTTGGTAGATTTAACTAATACAAAATAATGTGTTAATTATTATTATAGATTTAATATATCTATTTTATGCTGTTTACCTTTTGGATACTTTGAACATGTAAATGCCTATTAGGATTTAAGTTTTTTAGTGATAATTTTTTTTTTTTTTTTAACAAATCAAATATCCTCTTCTCATATAAAATATCATTTGAGCATGTTTATTACAAATCTGGAAATACAATACTCTGATCTAATTTAATATTAAGTATAAACAACTCTTTTTTTGATGTTTGCAATTTCAATTTAATACATTTACAATTTCAAATCAAATATTAGTATAATATAAATAATTCACCATACATAGCTTCAATAGTTGTAATATACTTTGTAGGACTAGGTCTTTTTGACCAATCACATGAATTTAATCAATATGTAGGTATTTAAATAACAATGACATACATCCAAATATACCTATAGGGCACTGATCAACTTATATAATTATATTTTATGTAAAAAAAAAAAATATTTTCAATGTCGTGAATAGGGTTTGAGACCATTGGCGCAACTAGAGGGTGCAAACGGGTCTTTAGCACCTCTTGTTTTTTTAGATTTAACTATCATTATTATAGTGAAATACCCCCAATTTAATGTTTTTAAAATATGAAATATTATAGCACCCCACGTTTTAAATTTTTTAATGTATATTTTCTACTTTAATATGATGCAAGTGATAACCACTAACAAAAACTAGGGAGAGAATAACCATTTTTTAGATTGCTTAATTTTGATTATTTAAATGTTTTTTTAAGCGTTTGATTTGATGATTTTAGGTTCTGTTTAGCCCTGAACCCTGTTCACGGCAAAATTCCTCACATATTATACTGATATTATTATGAACCATTAAACAATTTTACCTTAATAAGCCTAGGACTATGAAAAACCTATTTCAAAATGATGATACAGTTTAATCTAAATGTTCGTTTTGCAGTTAATATGCAAAATATGAGTAAAGATAAAACGTGTATTCAAAAAATTAAAACAAACTTTTCAATCACCCCAGACTTAAAAAGCAAAATTTAAAAATGGTGTTAATAATATTCTAACTTGAATTTAGTACTTATTATTATTTGGTGACAACACCAATCATTGACAGAAATAATTTAGTATTTATCATTATGACATTATACAATGTAGCACAGTAGACTAATGTTTTTGGATGTTTAGATTATTATATCTCTTTTGTTAAAGGGCTTGTCCGTAAAATAAAAAAAAATGTTAAAATAAAAAATAAAAATAAAATTATTATTAATCACATAGCCAGCTAAAAATTTTTAATTTGATTTAGGACATAATCTACATATTAAACACAAAATAAATATCTATATCTATGTATATTATCTTTTAAGTTGTAATGATTGATGTTGTCACCTAATTTAAATTATTTATAAACTAGCATACAAATTATAAAGCTTTAACATTAGCACAATTTTTAGTTTTCAATACATTATTTTTTTTTTTTTTTCATTCCGAAAATCGGTTAAATGATTACTGATGTCCCTCTCCACTTATATTCCTCTTCAACTTCCAGTATGTTCCTATTCTGGTATCTTCAATCACTTGCTTCAGAAATGGAGTTCTAGGCCTTCCTTTTCCAGGTTTCCTCCTGATTACGTGTCCGATCCATGCTTTTCTTCTCAATCTTAG